TCCTGTCTGTGCTCCTGCACTCTGAAGATGCTGGTCACAGGTGCTGGCAAAACATTAGGAACCAAAACTTCCAGAACACGGCCACACAGTCCGGAAGACCCACATCAGCCATGGCCTCACTTTGTTTAAGGCCAGGACTGTCCCAGTTCCCTCCAGTTTGAAACTGTGCTACTTTATCAATATGCCACCCAGGTACTTAGCCCATAGCTAAAATCTCTTTCAGAGATTTGCCTGAAGACATAAAGGGCTCACTCTCTGTAGAAATGGGTCATCCAAGCAGCCTCACATCCACTTCTCTCCAAACGCCACAGATTCAAGCAGAAGGCCTGAAGGGGAAGGGCCCTGGCCCTGAATTAGATGTGAGCACAGCTCTGTGGAGAGTAAAGAGGACAACCTTGCTGGAGAGAGAGAAGATCCTTGACCAAGGCAACCAGGAGATAAACATTGCAGAGGCTCAGATGGGGATGGGAGGTCATGAAAACATCTCAGGCAGGCAGCCCCCGAATTCACATGATATACTGTACAGAAGAGGGAGGAGCGGAAGCACGTTCAGACTTGCAAGACTCTGTTATTATAGCCAATCTTAATACATATAGTTTTAGGCTTAGGTGGCCTCTGTTTCTTGGTCTGGTTTACCTTGCAGGGTTGATAAGCTCTCCGCATGACCCAGGACTGAAATAAAGCACAGTTTATTCACTTTCCAGACGACACAAGCATTGCTTCCCTTCAAACTGCTTAGCTAAAAGTATTGAGGCTAAAGAGAGGCAGGAGTGGGGCCACCTGCATGCTCTTGTTTCTTCCCCACTTTCACTTGTCTACCTGTTCGGGCGAGTGCCCAAATAGGGCTGCAGGACACCCAAAGTCTTGATATTATGCTGCACATTGCAGCAAGTGGCATAAGAGAGCTGGCAAGTTCCTACCCATTTTCCCTCCATTAACTCTGCCTCCTTTCCTTTTCCATCATATGTGCAGAGCACCAGGAGTGGCGACTGTCAGGAGGACTAGATGCTTGTGCTGGCCGAGTGGAGGTCTATTACCATGGCATCTGGAATACCATCTGTGACGGTAGCTGGTACCAGAATGAGGCTGATGTGCTCTGCCACTCCTTGAGCTGCAGTGACAAAGCTCTAGAACCAAGGGTGCCTTTCGAGCATACACTGCTGGGAAAGATGTATTACCAGTGTTCGGGGACTGAAGACTCACTTGCCAGTTGTGAGTGGCGCTACAACAAAGCCACTCTGTGTGATCAGTTCAGAGCGGCTGGAGTGATATGCAATGGTAACTGCTACCTAGGGCTTATTCAGGGTCTCTGTTAAATTCTTATTCTCATGTTCTCATCTGCGGTAGAATGAACAAGCTAAGGAGGGAGGTGGGGGAGACAAACATGCTATCTTTATCGCCCCCGCCCCTTGCCATTCTCTTTTCCCTCCCCCACTAAAGAAGTAAATAAATTCCATCACAGGTTCTACAGGAAGTGAATTTCCATTCTCCCCCGGACTTGATACTGGGTGAACGCTAGCATTAAACAAGTTCTACTAGCATTTGTATTTCCCCAGTCAAAACCTATCCCAAAGAAACATGTGGGAAAAGGCACGTTACTAAGGCACTACAGTAATTGTAATGTTTGAAAAAGGGAGCTTACTACAAAGGAATTTGGATTTTACAGCAACATGTATCAGAGAAATGTATGGATTCAGAACTGAAAACAGCTATTATTTTCTTTTAAAAAAATGCTTTATGGCAATTAGGTTAACATAAGTTAGAGGAAATCTGTGACTATTTAAATTAGATTTGTAACCTCATTAATTAGAGGAAGATTTGTGCCAAGTTTGGTATGAATGTACATGGTTATAAAATGGTTTTGTGAATTTATTTTATCCACTGGGGGAAAATCGTGGATTGGAATCTGCCGTATTTAGGCAGCCAGTCATGTGAGTAGGAGTTTTAAAACTTTGGAGAGCTTTTTAAATCTATGGTCTTTCCCAATACGAGTTAGGATGTTGACATTCCAGGGTTCTGCATCACATGATAAGTCTCCATGGCTGCAAAAAGTTCCTTGTTGCAAAACTTTATTTTCAAAACATGGAGGAGGATGAGAACATCCACAGAAGAGTACAGCTCAGGATATTCGGCCTCATTCCCATGTTACTGTGAAAATGAACATCGGAATTAACCTGATCTTCTTTTTCTGTCTTTCCTATGGAAAATCCTACAGAGAATTAAGTGAAGGGGGAGAATTGCATCACAATGTGAGTCTCTTGACTTTTTTCAGAAAAGGCTAGGTAAGCATCCATGGGCTGTATGTTTTTTTCCAAAGAAAACAGGAGACCACTGCAAGTCTGATGGTGAAAATCAGTCAAACAATCAATCAATCATAGTAGTTACCTTGTGTGTGATCTACTCTATCCTCTTGCTCACTGCAGGATCTGAAATTACATCATCCCTGACGAATGGGCCATCCAGTCTTTGCTTATATATCTCCAGTAAAGAAAAATCCCCATCTTCTGAAGTAGTCTGTTTCATTGCTGGATACATTTTATAATCTGGAAGTTTCCCCTAAAGCTTAAGGAAAATCTTCAGTTTCCTTTGTAATGCTTTTAATCTTGCTTTCTAAAGCAGTAGGAGACACATCTGATCCATCCTCTGCTTGACTTAACACTTTAGGTTTTAAATACATAGGCTATCATGTCTTCTTTTAGTCTTCTCTTCTCAAGACTAAGCATATGCTGGCCTTTTGGCCATTCCTTATAAGACTTGGTTTCCAGATTCTTAATACCCTTCTTAAAATGTGGCATTAAAAACTGGACTTGATACTCTGCCTGCAGCCTGACCAGTGCAGAACAGAGGTGAATGATTATTTCCTGAGACCCAGGATACTATGCTTCTATTAACACAGCCAAACATCACATCATCATTTTTAGTAGCTCTATTGCACTGCAAATCTTTGTCCAGAGCAAAAGATGGAATTACCCCCAGAATCAAATGGCTTCTGAGGCCTTTGCCACTCTATCTTACTAAACCTGTTTCTCCCCATCGAGACCCTCATAGCCTCCAGGCATCAGTTCAAGACTTCTGTTGCATCAGCCAGACAGTCTGGGATACAGAAATAACATTGGGTATCATCTGCATATCGATGATGCCTGTGAGGTAGGCCAGGTCAGGAAGAAGACTCCACAAGTGACTGGAACTATTCTCTTTCTTATTTATTTATTTATTTATTTATTTATTCATTCATTCATTCATTCATTCATTCATTCATTCATTCATTCATCTTTTATAGCTGCCCATCTCAGACCAGTGACACTATTTTATTGAGATAGGTTAGAGTAACAGAATCTTGAAAGCCTGGCTGAGTTTTCCCCTCCCTCCCTCCCTCCCTCCCTCTTATACTAGTGATTTAGGGAGGAGTCAGTCTCAGCTTCTTTCTCACACTTTCTGTTTCTCAGGCAACCATCATCTCAGCTTAGTTTCTCCAAGGTCACCTCTGTGGCTCTCTGCAGTATCTTACTCCAAATAGTTGAACAACCTTTCCAATGGTTTCATGTACTGCAGATGTTAAATAAGATAGGAGAGAGACTGTGGTATCCCATTGTTAGCCCTACGAGGTAAACCAGACCGTGAAAGAGACCCCACAGGAAGACTAGAACTATACTTTATTGAGATAGGCTATAGTAACAAAAACTTGCAAGTCTGATTTTCCTCCCCTCCCACTTATACCCCAGTGAATCAAGGAGGAGTCAGCCTGAGTCTCTTCTGAATACAGTCTCCCTTCCCAGGATATAAGGAATGCTTCTGTCTTTTTTGTTTATGTAATGGTTTCTGAATATTTGCTCCAAGGCCACCTCCCCAGCTCTCCACACCCATATCAAAGAGCCCTACAGCTCATCTTCTCCTTCACCCTCCCCAACTGGAGCTGACTACACAGAGGGACACCATGGTCAATGGTCCTGAAAGCTGCATAGGCTGGTAGGGTCACACTCCCCCTTTTGAAACCCCATCGTCAGTAATCAACAAGAGCGACAATGTGGTTTCAGTTCCCAGCTTCCCATGCTCAGGTTTGAACTCTGACTGAAAAGGATCATGTTCCACTTGTGAGCCACTAGGAAAATTAAATTAGTTTTACATCTATTCTATCCTAATCAGCCTACACTTATGACTGTGATATTTTAGTACTCAGTTGTAGAACTTTACATTTATCTCTTGAATTTCATCTGGATAGTTTTGGGCCCAGGGTTCCATCTTGTCAAAATTGTTTTGAATTCTGTCTTTGATTCTGCTTTTTGTGTTGTTGGCCTCTGAGTTCTGTGTCATCTGCAAATTTGATAAATGTCCCCAGATTGCCTTCTTTCAAGTCCAAATATAACACAGAGGCTAGGACAGATCTATGGCATTCCACTTGAGCTGATACAAGCTGATACTTATTTACTGATACAAGCTGAGCCATTTATTTGAGCATTTGGGGGTATGGTTGTTCAATCATCTGGGTCTCTTGCTAACAGTAATATTGTCCATCGTACACTTAAGGGATCTTTTCACACGACACATGCACTGTTCTGTATATTGGCTCTATGTCCCTGTGATCCTTGTCAGAATCCTGGCATCATTCCTGTTCAGTAGCTGAGCTAATAATGCCAACTTAGTTGTCATGTATTTGAAATCATTTGAAAGCTAGTTTGCTTTTTGGCATGTTGCAGCTTTGTGGGGCTTGTGGATGGACCTTTCCTCACCTACAGAGAACCTTCCCTCACCCCACAACTTGGCACTTAGGCTGCAGCCATGCTGGCAGGTCTTTCAAGGGGAAAGGTGGCTTGACAGCTCTTCAGCCCTCAGGAGTTGCTGGGATTTTTTTGTAGACAGACAAATGAAATGTGAAGTAATATGGCTGGAGGAGTACAAGTAAATAACTTTCTTTATCAGTAATATGGAGTCAGGGTGGATTTAAAAATTTTTTATTTTATTTTGTGTCACTGCAGGACAAGTGACACTCACCCATGTGCATTCTTGCTCTTTGTTCTCCACACCTGAAGTCAGCAGAAGTAAAGACATAGGGAAACAGTGGAGGTGTGGAAGTGCCCTTGAATCTGAAAAGGAAAGGAAAAGAGAACACAAAAGTAGGGAAGATTAATAGGAGTAGATAGATAAAGTAAGGGAAAATGGCAAGGATTAAGTTAAAAGACAGAGGCATCAATGCCATCTTTTCTGGGTGCTTGCTTATCGGTGCTGTATGATGGAAGTAACAAGTTGTCAAAGGGAGAGGACTGTTGGTTGGTGGGTGCACTCATGCTAACCCTCCCCTTCCTGATTCCAACAGTATGTAGCCACATTTCAAGTTGGGGTTGCCTTCTGATTTCCTTGCTGCAACATGTGTTTCCTACCATGAAGCTGTTTGGCTTCTGGGAGGGGAACTTGAGATGCTACTTGGCAACTGTCTTACCATCACCACCTAGAAATGTCCTAACTCTGTGACAGTTTAGCAAGGATAGCTTGTTTGGAAAGCAAGGAATCTGCTATCAAATTAGCTATTGTAGTCTGTAGGAGCTTTCAGTTGGCTTTGATTGGAAAGGTTATTTTGCTCCAGACCTCTGATGTGCTTCATTCTGTTATTGATTCTGGCCTATTGATCCATACAATGATGTTCATGCTGCAAAACCTATACACATTCTGCGATCCTGAGTCCCTGAGATATGTGATTGGGGTTAAGGCCTGGGTTTCCCTGGGGGAATTCCCCTGCTTCTTGATGTGCACAAGTATCTTAGAGTATACAGTCTGGACAAGCCAAGATTAATTGTATCTTTGCCTTTTTCTGTCTGAATTTGAATCTGATCCACTTCTCCAGTGTTATTGGTTTTCCATTTTAATTAATTAATTAATTAATTAATTTAGTATCCTTTTATGATTTCAGGCTCACTGGGCTTGCAGGGGCCTACAAATACAACAGAAATGGAAATGGTGACTTCAGTCTCCCATCTACCCAGCCTCTGTAAGTGAAAGTCTCTTCAAAGCACTTCCAGCTCACACACTGCAATTGCTAAACAAACTAGTTATAGGTTGCCTCCTTACTAAGCGCTCACTGCATGCAGTTCGCTTTGAGCAGTGTTTTTTCTTTTTCAACTATATCTTTTGGCTTAGACCCAACTCATCTTAGTGGTACAATCAGCCAGAAGCAGAATTCCAATCTGACTGACATTTGGCAATAGACTGAATCAGGACTTCTTAAAATTTGCAGTAGAAGGATCCCCAGAATGATAAATGCATTTATGAGATTCCCTGAATCAATGTATTGATTTAAATTGCTGTTTAGGGTTAAGAAGAAATAAATATACCACTTAGTTTTAATAATTAAGATTCCATCCCAGTTTCTGAACGTGATGCCACATCTGCCCACTGCCCACTGGGGCTTCCCAGGCAAAGGCTGGAACAAAGCCCAAGCAAACGTTGACAGTTCTCCCACTCTGTCTGGGCAAATCTAACTGTGACCCCTGGCTCTAATTTGTTTATGTTTATTTCTCAGGAGGTCACAACCCACACACTGAGAACCTGTGGGTTAAAAAGTTCCCTAGAAGCTCTATTTCACGGATGCCTTTAGGAATGAAAGTAAACCCTGTCCTCTGATGGGCTGAACTGCTCTGAAGGCAAGAGAATGAGACCGCTATGAAGAGCCCTGGTTGCCACTAACTGAACAGCTTTGTTTATCAGGATCCCAGGAAGAGGAGGCACAACTGCAAAAGGGCTCCCAAAGAAGAGATAAATATGAAAAGGGGGGAGGAAAAAGAGAGGAGACCAGCCAGGAGCTACAAAGCTGGGGAAAGCTGAAGTTCATCTATTGATCGGAAGGCAGCAGCTGAATATCTACTAAAGGCCTTTAGCAATATATTAATGCAATAAATCAATAAGGAGAAACTATTCAACCTATGTTCTTTTTAATTTCATTTTTTTATCAGATAGTTTTTATTAATCCATTTTCAAATAAATAAACATAAAATAATATAAAATAAAATAAAAATGAACCATTTCTGAGGAACAAAAAATGAACTTATGTTTTTTATATTGCTCAACAGTCTAGGAGAACTTGACCTGGGTGACCTTGTAACACCCTCCCAAGTAGGGTTTCCGTTTTAATGGATTACTCCACACATTTCTAAAGTGGGACTAAGATATACTGAGGAATGAGTGGGGTAAACAACTTGTGTCTCTCCAGCTGCTGTGCTTTGGCTTGTCTGTGTCCAGCTGTTGAAAGTTTTTTCAGTGCTGTTCGTAGGCAGAGCAAATGATGGCCCATGCATGGGGACGACATCACATAAATGCCACAATTTAACATCAGATATCAGAATGCAGATATGTCACGGGGGCATTGTAGGTTGATGTCATTGTGTGCCTAGCGCTTTGGTCTCCTCATGGCTTTCTGTGGGCGCCGCTGCTGGAGATAACTGTATTGTGCTATTGTCTGGTCTTATTCATGAGTTCTTTCTGAATGTCCTAATAAAATCATTGTTGATTAGTAATCCTCCGGTCTTTCCATGCTGTTCCACACTATTTCTTTTCAGATAAAATCTCTTTACAAGTCAAAGCTTGCTACTTTTTGACTGATAGCACTAGACTTCTCTGAAAGGATCCCTTATCTAGCCCCGTTCTTAGTCTGTGTCCTCAAGGCGATACTGGTACTTACAGACCAGGTTGTCTGTGTTAAGCAAGAGCCAACCCGCCCCCTGCCCCCAGCCTCAGAAAGCACTTTCCTTCTTCCATTTCCTCATGTCTACCAATGTTTCCCTTTGCAGATTTGACGATTCCTGAAGAGAAGGAAGCAACATCACCAGATCAGAAACTGCAGATCGCTTGCATCATTCTGGGTGTTCTCCTTTTTCTGACCACTGTGATGGTTATTATCCTTTCGCTGAATAGACGCAAGAAAAACGGTACCTTTGGTATACCAGGGATCACCAGTGCTGTGGGGGGAGTGGCTTAGAAGACATCTTTTATTCATTCATTCATTCATTCATTCATTCATTCATTCATTCATTCATTCATTCATCATATTTATATGGCCATGCATCTAACAAAACATGACTCTGGGTGGCGTACGATAAAAAGCTATAGAACAGAAATATAAAAACAATCAATTAAAGTATTAATATTATGATTAAAAGGCAAGGAGATATTAAAAGGTTGTGGGAACTGTGGTGGGATTTTAATGTGTTTTATTTAGATGCTATAGTACTAGGGTAAACTGCAGTGTGAAACATGAGACCAATTCTCTTTTGACAGAAACAGAGTAACGGTGAAGTATCCTTGCTAAGAATTTCCACATCCAGCAAGCAACATCATAAGCTCAGTATTGTTGTAGGTCTGCTATTTCCGAAAACCTCCATTAGGCTAGAACGGAAATTTCAATCTGCTGAAAGAATGTGCAGATGGAATATGGACTGATTAGCAGGAGGCTTAGAGCCTTTTTACGAATGTACTTAATAGAGCCACTATTTCTCAGGCTCCTTTACATGATCTTGTTTATGATATTTGCACTGCCAGATTTATTTGTATTGGAAGATAGAGATAAAAGGGCGTTTTCGGCAAAGATGCAGCACTGCTTAAGGCTGTGCAACACTCACTCTCTCTCAGCCCAATTCACCTCACAGAGTTGTTGCTGCGGGGAAAATAGGAGGAAGGAGTACTAGATATGTTTGCTGTCTTGAGTTATTTATAAAAATAATAAAGGTGGGATAAAAAATCTGAAACAAAAAAAAGATAAAGACAAAAGGGCTTTTTCTGCAAAGACAGAGTACTGCTTACGGTTGTGCAACACTTGGGATTTAATCTCCAAAAGATGCTTGAGAGCTTGTGGGTGTGTGAATGTAGCACCCCCACACAACACCTTAAAGCAGCCTTGTGAGATTGTTCCCCTATTCCAGGAAAGAGTGTGGCTTCTTTAGCACGTCGCACACAGCCAGGTGCTCTGTTTCTGCTCCACAGCTCCAACTGGAAATCAAATCAAAGTGCTGTTCAGCTGTAGTCACCTTCAGCCTACTAGCTTCTGGCATTTTGTCATGTGTTTTTCAACTGAAATAGGCAGACAGGCCACTAGTGAAGTAGCAAGTCCACACAGATTGGAATGCATAGATCTGTGGCAGCTGCATACAATGGATGTGATCTTACCATGGATGTGTCCCCTGATAGCAAGAAAATCTGTGGGCAGAAGAGGAAAAGGGGCCCCTTTCGCAGTGATCTTATATAGTGGAACTTCTGATTTGCAAACTGTGTTATTTCTTCTGCTTCAGTATCTGCCCCCGTCTTGATGAATCACACTGTGCAGAGTTTAACCACTGAAGGGAATGTCTCCCCAAGTCTCCCCAAAACAGAAGGTATCAACAGAAGCACTTGCTTGCTTGCTTGCTTGCCTGCCTGAACTACTGGTTCTCCTTTTCCTACTATCTTTCTTCTCTCTTTTTCCTTCTGCTTGCTCCCTGACAATTAACTTTTTCCACTTCTGATCATTTAGGCTAGAATCCATCAGACCTGGGTGTCCATAGCGGGCTGTTGGAATGACTTTAGGATCCCACCCGGCAAACAAGCCAACAACTCTTGCAGTTCTTGGGGAAATTCTGTCTTTTTAAGTTAGTAATTGGGGAGAAAATCTCCACTGTTATCAACTCTAACCCCGACCCTCAGCCATCGTCATCTGCAAATGCTGAAAACATGCATGTTAAATTCAAAGAGCATTTAACATCCTCTCTATTATAGGACTTAGCTTTATATATATTTGGAAAAAAACATTGCAGCAGATCAATCTTTGTTGTTGCTTGTCTGAAGCGTTGATGTGGCCGCCTAACTCAGGCAACATGATTCTGGGCAACACATATAAAAACAAAGAAACAATAAATATAAAAGAAAACAACACGCACCATTAAAAACTAAGACAATAAAATGGCGGTCAGAACTAAAATATACTATAACCCCTCTGATTGGGAACTCTGTTTTGAACCCTGTCCAAAAATCCAGAGAAAGAGGCAGTGGAAATGGAAGAATCTGCCAGGTATAGTTTGGTTCAATTTCTCATTTCTTTAGGTTGAAGTTTACTTCTTTTCTCTCCCTCATCACTTTTAAAAACCATTATCTGTTTGAAAATTCGTATGCATTTTCACACAAATGTTTCATAGTATCTCTATTTCTCTTTCGACTTTTCCTGATTTACACACACTTGCAATATGACAAATTTTTATACATTATTTTCCACAATATGTATATTTTTGTTTGCCCTTTTTGCTAATAGCTGTAGTTGTGTCCCTATTTTTGTTTGAAAAACTGTATAATATTGAAGAATAATTGTATTTTGGTTCATTTATATCTTTGGGATCTGTGAATAATGTTATTATTGAAATCTGAACCAAATGACTCCCTCAACGCTAATCAGATAGTAGTAGAAGTTGTAAACTTTAATTGCAATTGGTGTTTCTTTTTAATTAAACAGTACAACAATAACATTTTAAAAGTTTAAAAGGGCATAATAAGGAAAACAAATGAAAACTATACAAAGCAAAGCCCTGAATATTTTAGGAATGTATATGTAAAAGTACATATTTAATCTTAAAGATACAACATTTTAGTCATCTATATTCAGTGTTGTAGCTAAAGATAAATTTTCATAGATAGAGGAAATATATTAGGAATGAATTAATTAATACAACCAAAACACTGAGACCAAATATGAATAAAATGTGTCAAAAAATGTTTAGCTGATGGCAGATAAATTCGCACAGGCAAGTTCTGTGAACTTTTCTTAATCGACAACTCAATTACATGAATATTAATCAAAAACTGTTTGTTTACAGGACTTATATGGCCACCTATCTCATATAGTCACCTAGGCAGCTCACAACAATCCACAAAAATGTGGCTAAAATGTTAAATGAATATTGCACAGATATATCATGTAGAATGAGAGCCAGTTCGATATAGTGGTTAAGGCACCAGGCTAGAAACTGAGAGACCATGAGTTCTAGCTGCACTTTCAGCACGAAGCCAGGTGGGTGGCCTTAGGCCAGTGATACCCTCTCAGCCCTAGGAAGCAGGCCAGGGCAAACCACCTCTGAAAATCTTGCCAAGAAGTGCAGGGACTAGTCCAGGCACTTGCCAGGAGACAACACTGACTCAGAGGCACGCACGTGTGCACGTGTACACACACACGCATAATGTAGAATGCCTTTGAAAGACATCTTGTTGTGATTACAGCCCTGGCACAAACATTTACATGGGCAATGGTCAAAATAAGCTGCTGAAACTACTGGTGGGCAAAAAAAGAACAAGAGGTGTTCATGAAAATTTGTGCTTTGGTATCCACTGGGTTTCACTGGGTTCTGTTGCATTAAATGTTAATATGTCACAAGTCTCTTTTTGTTTCAATATATTAGCAGAGATAACACCTCTGGATATTTAGTTAATATCAAATGTATACTTGCATGGTCCTGACATATCAGCCTATGACAGTGCATAATACAAAAATAAAAAGTATTAAACAACAACCCTTAATGTGAAGTTAAGCAGCATAAATATAAACAATCAATAACAATAAGCATACATAAAATCCAATCCAGCCATCATCAAAATCATGAAAGTGTTAACATTAAAAAGAAAATTCTTGCTTATCCAGCTAGGTTTTGGGAGTTCTCTTGAAATCAGTGTGTCACAATATTGATGAATTCCTTCAAATGGTTTAGTTTTATGAGTACATCCAGAAGGACTTCCAACTGTCCATGATAATGTTTAATATTTATAATGAAGATTCATTTTGTAATTAGGACTGCAGTATTTTAAAGATCCAATCCTACATTGTAGTAGGATATACCAGGTGCTCCGTTTTCTAAACTCAGCTGGTTTTCCAAGACATTTGTTCCTGTTCTCTCTTTCACAAACAGATGTGATCCCTTCTCCAGCTCATGAAGACTCTGATTCTGATTATGAAGCCTACGATTTCAGCATGAAGCCACCTGTGCTTCTCTCTACCTTCTACAGTGAGCAATCCCCCATGGCTATCTTTCTAGCCACTTATAACCTCCTGCAGCTGAACTTTGTGTTACTCAGAAGATTCAGGAAATTTGTGAGATCTTTTTTCATTCAAAACTCAGGCTCAACCTTCATTGTGGTTCCCATGCTGAAAAAAACAAGGAAGGATTTCTGTCCAAATCACACTGAGCTACAATAAGATATTTTTTTCTTTCATACCTAAAGGTGTTCTTCCTGTGTTTAGAAAAAAAGGCCTCCTTTCCCAACATTTCCCCAAGACGACTGCTTCTTCCCCAGGCCCTTTACTTTAACCCTAATCGTGGGTGTACACAGTCAGAGCAAAGTACATAAAATAATCTTATTTCCTGGCAACTGTACAACTGTCTTTAAGACACATTTAAGACACATCAGTGAGTAACCATGCAAAAATTGTACCAAAAATGTTACAGTGTCAGACATCTCTGTTCTGAGAAATCCCACATGTTCCCAGTGCCAATTATGAGCATTCTGTTTTGTAAGCAATCCATTGCCAAAACAGTGAGAGTTGCTGCAAAAGGGGCAGTGTTTCACTAGGTTGAGTTGTGTGGGTCAAACTGTGCAGTTATTAAGGGAGACACCCAACATGCCTTGCCTCTAACCACACAGAGTGACCAAAACGCATAGCGGAACAAGGGATTTGATGGCTAGCCAGCACGATGAGCACCACAAACACGTCTTTCTTCTATTTTTATTTACAGATAGGGAAACGGAAGGGGCATGACAAGGCACTCCTTGCTGGCCAGCAGGTGGTCACTGATCACCTTAGACACCTCTTTGCTCATCTGCTGGCCAGAAAAGGAACATTCTGATGGACTAGGGATTCTCTGCAAATGCTGCAGATTGACAAGTGATATCAGAGATCTGGTATATTTACAGATCTGCAACCTCCTGATCAAGCCCTGTTTAGCTGTAAAATCACAAGGCTTAGGCAATAGCTCATTTCCTGAAAGTGATACACCTTTTAAGAAAAGGAGCAGGGGTATGGCAACCCAATTCTTGTCCTCCAAGGATCAATTTCTGAGAGTTTAATGGACTATGGCCCTGTTTTCAGATTCTCTTCGCTATCAAGCAACTGGTGAGGAGCTTTCACCCCACAATTTCCCCCTATCAACAATGCACCAGGATGATGCGACCATGCATCCAGAGGACTATGGACAACAGGGTGAGAGCCTTTTATCCTTTTTCACTATGTCCATTTCTTCTTGACTATATGTTAGATCCAGATATCTTTCCACATTTTATATCCCCTGGGAAGGATGAGGCTCCTTTGGTTGTTCTGCCAAGTTCCTGGATTCTTTCTTCCTTCCTTCCTTCCTTCCTTCCTTCCTTCCTTCCTTCCTTCCTTCCTTCCTTCCT